TGAGATAGGAGCAGGGGCTTGGGAGATGATCAGTGAAGAGCATGTGCCCTCTCACAGAGGACCTGAGTTCAGTTCCCGGCACCTATGTCTGGCCACTCATAAAGACCTCCAACTCCAGTCCCTGGGATCTGATGCCTCTGACCTCCTCTGCCATTGCACTTCAAAAAAGATACAGGTGTAGGCATCTGATCGTCCTAAGAATTGCCAGGTAAGATGAAATAAATTTTTAGTACAGCAGAGGAAATGCCAAAGGCTACAGAATTGAAAGAAAAAGCATTTTTACCAACATCAGACAGGAGACTGATATGTAGAATATACAAATGAGTAGAAAAAGTACCAGGAAAAGGAAATCACCCGGTTAATACATGCCCTAAGAAACTGAAAAGATGGTGCTCCAAAGAATAGACACATGTGGCCAATACATATTGAAAGAACTAGCCAACATCCTTAGCCATCGAGGAAAGTAGGTTAGAGCCACATTGATACTCTGTCTCTGGGGGCACGGAGATAGCTCAGCGGGTCAAGGCACTTGCTGCCAAGCCTGAAGACAAGGTAGAAAGACACTGAGATCCCATCTCTCTTTAGTCACAGTGCTTACTAAGAAGACAGCTGGCAGAACTGGGAGGGCGTGGGGAAAAGACAGCCATTACTCACTCCCAGTGCGAATGCAAACTGGTGCAGCCACCACGGCAATCAGTATGGAGGTTTCTCAACTGAAAACAGGAATCATCCAGCTATCGTAGTCTACAGTGCACATGGAAAAGACTCTAGATCATGGTTCTCAATGTTCCTGATTCTGAGACCCTTTAATACAGCTCCTCATGTTCTGGTGACCTCCAACCATAATACCTCCCTCTTCTCTCTCTCTCTCTCTCTCTCTCTCTCTCTCTCTCTCTCTCTCTGTCTGTCTGTCTATCTCTCTCTCTCTGTGTCTGTGTGTCTGTGTCTGCCAGCCTTGTGTGTGTGTTTGGAGATCAAACACAACCTTGAATGTCACTCCTCAGGTACCTTCCCCTTTTTTGAGAGAGTCTCTTAATAACCTGGAACTTTGCTAAGTAGGCCAGGCCAACTCTCCCTTGGGCTTCTAAGGATCTGCCTGTCTCTGCCTACCATATTGCCACTGAAGTTATAGGCATGTACCACTGTACTGACTCTACTTTCCTTCCTTCGCTCTTCCTTCCCTCCCTCCCTCCCTCTCTCCCTCCCTCCCTCCCTCTCTCCCTCTCTCCCTCTCTCCCTCCCTCCCTGTCTTCTTTTCTTCTTTCCTTCCTTTAAGAATCACTTCTAGGTGACTCATTAGTTTCTAGAAATTACGTTTATTTATTTGTTTATTATATGTGCATGTGCATATGCCGTAGCACACGTGCGGAGGTCCAAGGACAGCTTGAGGGGTTTGGCTCTCTTCTTTCACTATGTGGGTCCCAAGGATCAAACTCAGGTCAGTAGTTTTGGCAGCAGACCTTGAGCCATCTCCCCAGCCCCAACTATTTTTTTCTTAATTTAAAAGTTATCTCTGTATGTATGTAGTTGGACACATTGGAGGCCAGAAGACAACTTGCAGGAGTTAGTTTGTCCTTCCACGTATGGGATCATGGACTCAGACTGAGATTGTCACGCTCAGTGGTAAGGACATTTACTTGCTAACTCACCTCACCGGCCCCTTTGCTGGCTTTTTATGTAGGTTCTAGTTGTGCAAACGGAGGTTCTCATGCTGATGATTCAAGCAAGCACTTTGCCAACTGAACCATCTCCCTGTCCCCATCGTTTACTTTTTAGTTTTGTTTTTAATTTTTAAAAAGTATTATTGTGTACAAGGGTCATAAATGTGTCACCGTGTGCATATAGAGGCCCATAGAATAACTTAGTAGAATTGGGCCCCCCACTTTTGTTTTGAAACAGGGTTTCTCTGTGTAGCCCTGGCTGCCCGGAACAGTTTTTCCCTTTTATCTTCTCATGGGTTCCAGGATTGAACTTGGATCTTCAGGCTTTCATAACAAGCACCTTTAACTGACAGAATCATGTTGCTGGCCCCTATCTTTTGCTGTATGTAAGACCTCCAGATGTAGATCTGAATCACTGCGTGTTCATAAGTGTGAGAGGGCCATGTATACCTTACAGAGCCAACAGGTATGGTTGGTAACTTTTTCCACACATGGCCAATGTCATCATCTGTGAATTCAACGTTAACTAACAGACATGCATGACAGAACAGGACAGTTTATGTCTTTATCAACTGACAAAATTGCCAGGACCAGAGATTCCTAGGAACCTGGCCTTGTGTTTGTCTTAGCAGGGATTCCTGAGTTGTAACTCATTGTTGATAGCCAACTTCGTAGACACAACTGCATTAACAGCCCAAATCAACATGTTTCCTTTGAGCTGATATAGATGTGATGTGCACATATGTGTTCTCCATGTTTGAGGGATGTCAGGCTCTGACGTTTCATATGCCATACCACTTCTCTCACCAGGAGGGAAGGACCAGCCTTGCTGGGATCCTAGCTCAGCTGGGAACTCTGCCCAGCGGAGAGGCGCCAGCTTGGGAGCTGATAAGTCCTGGGTGTTGTGGCAGCCTGTCGCTACTTTCCTAGTTCCTGAATTTCTGTCGCTTGGAGGACTGGCATCTGGAGCCTGGACCAGGGGCCCCTCGATTCTGCAGTGATGTGGGCACCAGGGAACCGGGCGCTCCAGCAGGCACCCGCCACAACAGGTTTTGTAGATGGGAGGTTTAAAGACCTTCCTAAGCACCGGGCTCTGTCACTTTTCAAAGCCCTGCCCAAGCCTGTACATTAAGGTGTGCCCAGCCTAAGTTCAGCTGAACTGCCCGTAATACAGAGATACTGAGTTGCTGTTGAATATTACTTTTATAGATATTTAAATATTAATTTTGCTCTTAAAATTTGTTATTGTTGGGAAACAATAAGATTTTCTTTACATCTCCTTCCTTCTTTCCTTTCCTCCTTGCTCCATCTCCTTCCTCTCCTCCCTTCCTCTCCTCGTTTTTCTCTCTCTTGCCTTTCCTTCCCTTCTCTCTCCCATCTTTCCCTCCTGTACGCCCTTCCTTCACCCCTCCATCCCTTTTTAACTCCTTCCCTCTTCCCTCCCTCTCTGATGTTTTTTTGGGGTGCTGGGGTCCAGCCTCATGCATGTCAGGCAGGCTCTGTACTGCTCCCAGCTTGCGTACCTCTCCTGTGGTCCTCCTGCATTGTTGCAGCCCTGCTGTGTATCTTGGGGAATGCAGGTTGTCCTCAGCGCTGCTTTTCCACCAGCAAGCATTCCTGACCCCTCTGACGCACCTCAGGTAGCCCAAGTTGCTGGATGTAGAAGAAAATGAGCATGTAGTGTATTTTCCTGTGAGGAACCCTTCAATGGGAGAGAGCGTCAGAGCTCAGCCTGAGGGAGGAGGCACTGAGATGAAGCTGTCCCACATTGGGAGTCTCTGACCTGCTTTCTGAAGGTCCCATTGTTGGAGGGTAAAGAGACTGACAGTGGGAGGGTGTGGCACAAGCTTGGTGACCTTGTGGGAAGCCTGGAGCTGTCATTGTAGCTGGCTTCAATTCAGGGAAAGTGGATTGTGATGGTGAGGGCCCAGGCTGGGCTGAGTGTGCAAGACTTTCGGTGCCGTGCAGGTGGTTCAGACTCTTTCCAGGCATGTGACCTTATTCTGGTTTTTATAGTTTTTGTTTTGTTTTGTTTTGTTTTGTTTTTCAAGACAGCGTTTCTCTGTAGTTTTAGAGCCTGTCTTGGAACTAGCTCTTGTAAACCAGGATGGCCTCGAACTCACTGATATCCACCTGCCTCTGCCTCCCGAGTGCTGGGATTAAAGGCGTGAGCCACCACCGCCCGTCATGACTTGAGTCTGGTGTACTAACCACTGAATGCTATTTGCATTTATTTGCTGTGGCTCAGTATGTTACTGGAATATAACCACATGATGCTGGGAATTGAGCCCAGGGGCCCCTTTATTCTGAGCATGTACTGTGCCACTGAGCCCCATCTCTTTTTGAAGGTCCTACCACCCCTCCATACCACTACATGGGTGCCCAACCCATGTCTGAACCATGCCAATCTAGATACATGGCTGTCACTCTTACTGCACGGTTTCTTTGTATGTATGATGTGTGTATATGTGTGAGTGAAGATGCATACATGGAATAGTTTGCATGTGAGGTTAGAAGACAACCCGGGGGTTGGTTCTCACCTTCCACATTTTGCTTATTATTTTACTTTTATTTGTTTTTAAAGATTTGTTCATATGTACATGTATGTGAATGCCACATGTGTACAGGTGCCCAGGTAGGACAGAAGAAGTTACTGGATCCTGTGAAGCTGGCGTGACAAGTGTTTGTGAGCCATCTGATGTGGGTATTAGGGACAGAACTCTGGTCTTGTGGAAGGAAGTGTCGAAAGTGCTCTTAACTGCTGAGCCATCTCTCCAGCCCCTGTTGCTTCATTATTTCTAATCTATGCGCATGTATCTATGCCAGTTTGTGTACATCAGCAGTTCTCAACCTGTGGGTCATGAGGACTTTGGGGGTTGAATGACCCTCTCACAGGGGTCACCTAAGACCATAGGAAGCAGATATTTATATTACGATTCATAACAGTAGCAACATTGCAGTTATGAAGTAGCAACAAAATAACTTTACAGCTGGGGTCAGCACAGCACGAGGAACTGTGGTAAAGGGTCGCAGCGTTAGGGGGGTTGAGAATCACTGCTGTACACGAATGCAGACACCCATGGAAGTCAGAAGAAGGGTGTTGGATCCCCTGGAGCTGGAATTACAGGTGGTTGTGAGCTTCCTAACATGGGTGCTGGGAATGGAACCAGGTCCTCTGCAAGAGTAGTGAGTGTTCCTAACTGCTAGACCATCTCTCCAGCCCCCCCTCCCCACCTTGTTATTGATCCAGAGGTCCGTGCTGTTCCCTCTCTGTATGCCAGGCCAGCTGACTTGCAAGCATCTAGAATTCTCATGTCTCTGGTTTCCGTGTCTTCACAGAAGCCCTCGGATTACAGATGTTCACTACCAAGCCTGGCTTTATATGTGTTCTGAGGAGCTAAGAGTTCTCACACTTTTGAGCAGTAAGTATTTTACCCCCGACCTGTCTCCTAGTCTTTATTGTTTGGGAGTTTGCCGAAGACACCAGGCCATGCCTCCAGTAGACCCCCTTAGCGTCTGACCTTGGCTGGTACCTCTGTGTCACTGATCCTGCCTCTGTCAGTAAATACTCTGGAAGCTCTGGGCTTGATGCGTTCATTAGATTGGCTGGTGCTTTTAGGTGCTGACAGCCAATGGCTGCAGTGGTGTCTCCACTCTAAGGTCTCTGCCGGGCTCTTCCGTGATAGTTTGGGTGCTGTGTTGTTTAGTGTGGTTTCTCCATTCATCATGGCAGCAGGCTTGTCTGAATGTCTTAGTTAGGGAAGAGACACCAAGACATTTAATTGGGCTGGCCTATGTTTCCAGGAATTTAGCCCATTATCATGGTGGGACATTGCAGCATGCAGGCAGACATGATGTTGGAGAAGTAGCTGAGTGTGTTATGTCTTGACCTGCAGGCAACAGGAAGTGATCTCAGTGTCACACCAAGCAAAGCTTGAACAGGAGACCTCAAAGCCCACCCCCACAGTGACGCATTTCCTCCAGCAAGGCCACACTTCCTAATAATACCACTCCCTATGGGTCATTTTCTTTCAAACCACCACACTAAATGATCAGTTTTAGAAACTTTTTTATTGTGAGATAGTTGTAATTTTCCATGAAATCATAAGAAAGAATGCAGTTAGAGCTGTTATACTGCTAACCCAGTGTCCCCCTGATGGTGGTCCTGGCTTGAATATAGTCTGTTTTCATAGCTAGGCAACTGCTGTTGGCACAATCCATAGTTTCAATTCAGATTTCACTGTTTTATATGTACTGTGTGTGTATGTCTAGGCGTGTCTGTGTGTCCATACATTTATTTTATGCAGTTTTAACACGTGTATAGATATATATGACTAACATCACAATCCAGAACCAGAGCATGTGGATGGACAGGTGGCTCAGAGGTCCTGAGTCCAGAGGTCCAGAGGTCCCAGCAACCGCGTAGTGGTTCACAACCATCTGTAATGAGACCTGGTGCCCTCTTCTGCAGTGTAGGCATACGTCAGGCAGAACGCTGTATACACAATAAATCTAAAAAATAAATAAGGAAAGAAAGAAAGAGAGAAAGAAAGAAAGAGAGGAAAGAAAGGAAGAAGGAAAGAGAACCAGAGCATGGGCTGGAGGGACAGCATACTGGGTAAAGGGGCTTGCTGTACAAACTGAGTTCAGTCCACATTGTGGAGAGAATTGCCCCCACCAGTTGTCCTCTGACCTCCACATGGGTGCCATGACACAGTGCACCCAAATGTGCACACACAATAGACAGACATATGGACAGACAGACAGATAGATGACAGAGAGAGAGAGAGAGAGAGGAATAAATAGATGTAGTTAGAATGAAAACCTAGGCTGAGATGAGAGATGGGCAGTCAGAAGCACATGCCTTGTAAACAAAGGACATGAGTGTGGGGTTAAACAGCTGCGGTTGGTGCTGTACTCAGAGACGGGTGGACCCCGGCAGCTCACTGGCCAGCTGCTGTGGCCATCGCTAAGATTCCAGGCCAATGAGAAGCAGTGCATCGGACAAAAGTAGAAGGCCTCTGTCTTGTTCAGAATCCTCTGCTGTGAAGGTACCACAACCAGTGCAGTTCTTACAAAGGAAAGCGTTTAACTAGGACAGGCTTACAGTTCAGAGTTTCAGTCCATTGTCATCACTGCGGAAAGCACGGCAGCATGCGGGCAGACATGATCTGGAGAAGGAGCTTGAGAATTCTACATTTAGATCCTCAGGCAGCGGGAAGAGAGACGCTGGGCCTTTCTTGAGCATTTGAAACCCCAAAGCCTACCCCTAGTGACACACTTCCTCCAACAAGGCCACACCTCCTAACTGTGCCACTCCCTAAAGACCAGGCATTCAAATATGCGAGCCAATGGGGGCCACCACCACAGCACCCAAGAAACAACACATGTGATTGTCTTCTGCCCTCCACCCATACATACAACACACATGCACCTGTGCACTCACACATACAGGACATTCAGGGCTGGGTGGGAAGCAGCTCAGGGGAAGAGTGCTGACCAAGGATATGCCAAGCTCTGAGACTGTGCCTCAGCATGCAAAAGAGATTTAGAATATTTGATCATAAGATCCCTGAAACCATGGATTGTGCCAGTAGCATTTAATGCCTCAGTATGCTGAAAATTTTTGCTTTGTAGATGTTGAGCTATTGTTTGGTAGCTTTTAGGACCATGTTTTTCTGAGGTATGGGGAATGCTGTAATCACCAATATTGGAATTACCAAAAGATTTATTAGGTTTATTAACCATGAGGCAGGTTAGATGAACCCTTACTTTATTTTATGGGGAAAATCTATTGCAGGTTTTATAGAAGCCATTTCATTATAGCTAATATGCTAATTTTAATTATAAATTATTTGATACATTCAAATAATAAACTCCCTGGCTTTTCATGCTTAATATGCTGTATCTTTTCCCAAACTTAGTAAAACAATTGGACAGGAGCTCAGTTATTCAGAGAGACTTTTAAAGCCAAGTTTTTGTGACTTATTTGTGGTTATGAACTATTTCAGACAAATTGAAAGGCATAAAGACAGTACACTGTCCCTATGTTTAATGTCTTGCTTAAGACATAGAATGTTGCCAATTATTAAAGTCCCTGCCACTGACTAAGAAATAACTTTTATTTGAATTTTATTTATTTTAATGTATGTGTGTATGTGTAGTGTGTATGCATGTGTGTTTGGGTGCACATGTGTGTATGTGGAGGAGGCCTGAGGTTGACAATGGATGTCTTCCGTAGTCAGTCTCCACTTCATTTACTGAGGCAGGGCACCGGTATGGCTAGTCTTGCCAGCCGGATTGCCCCAGGAGTCTCTTGACTCTGATTTCCAAGCACCGGGATTGCAGAAGGCCCCCATCGGTGCTCAGCTTTTGTGGGAGCCACAGGCGTGCCTTGACCCACTTTATCGTGTGTCTTACACAGGTTTCTCTCCACATGGCTGCCGAGGAAGCCACCGTCACAGTTCGCCTCATCCGTTCGTTTGAACATCGAAATTTCAGACCTGTAGTATATCATGGAGTTAATTTGAACCAAACTGTGAAGGAATTTATAATTTTTCTAAAGCAAGGTATGAGAAATAGAGGTGCTTTGTTACATTTATATTTTGACAGTGAAAAACATCTGACTACGTGTTAATAATAATCTTTGAAAAGTACAAAATTAGTTTGGGTCTAGTGGTGCACACCTGTAATCCCAGCACTCAGGATGGAGAGCCAGGAGAATCATGATTTCAAAGCTAGCTTGGGCTATCTAGCAAGTTTTAGGCCAGCTTAGACTATATAGTGACTTTTATACTTTTTAACTAGCCTAGGCTACTTAGTAATGTTTATGCTTAAATTAAAAAAAAAATCAACCAAGAGAAGCCCTGAAGCAGTTCTTCCTCAGTCCAAAAGTATTTTAGAAGCTGGTGCCAACAGGGGCCAAGCTGGCCCGTGTCCTGGGCCTGTCAGTAGCTGCCCCTGTTTGTTAGTGAATAGTGTGAACATACTCACCAGGAGTTAGAACCATCATGTTTAGCCTCAAACAGACTAAGGTCTAAGACAGGGGAGGTGACTGTCAAGTGCTTGCCACATGAGTGTGAGGAGACTATGTGTTTGATCCCCCAGAACCCATGTAATAACGGAATGGAGGTGTGTACCTGTAATCCCACGAGGGAGGTGGAAACAGAGTATCCCTGGGGCTCACTGTCTAGCCAGCCTGCCTCACCCCACACAGCCTGGGTCCCAGAACTCTGGCTAGGGATGGCAAGGGAATGAAGGAGGATAGACACATAGACAATGAAGCTGGGATTGGGTGGGATTTTCTGATACCTCTGCTGTCCGGAACCTCAGCGTGTTTATTAGGTTCAGCACAGGATGGGGTGGCTGTGCTAGTCTTGGTAGGAGGTCTCTGGAGGCCAGCAGTCCCAGGCTGGATGCTCTGGGAGGAGGAAACTGCAGTTGCTAATCTTTGCACGCTGGTCCATAATCTCTCCTAATTGGGTTGAATTACTTCGGGTCAAGAAATAAGCAGGCTAGCTAAAAGATAAAAGTTATATTTTTATTTATTAGAAGGGGCAAACTCACGAAACAGGAACGAGAAGTCCAAGCTCAGCTGTGCTGTGAGGGTGCCACAGAGAGAGTGCACCTGTTTTTCTCTGGGTCCCAGGAAGCCACACCCTAACTTGGTCCCACCTCTTAAAGATAATTGGTTGACAAAGATTCCCCATCATACTCGGATGCCCAAGCTTTGCCATCAGTCTTGTATCTGGCCCGTATGGGTAATGGCTTTGCCAGTTTACCATGGACCAGTTAGTCTTGGAATCCTTCAGAGGCCTTGCTTCTGTCAAACACTCAAGATTTCGCTCACTCCGGGCTTCCTCTGCGTCCTGCACCTGTCCACCAGAATTGGTGAGTTCCAGGTTCAGCCAGAAGACTGCCTTAAAGTAAGGTGGGGGCAGACTGAGGAAAAGCTCCAGTGTTGACGTCTGGTCTCCACACACACATGCACATACAGAAACATGTACTTGCACACAGATCAAGTCTGCCTGTAGTGAGTCTTTAGTCTTTGGAGACCGAATGACGTTGGAGTAAGATGTAGACGGCTGTCATTTCACAGCAGACGGGGGCCTGCTGGGGAGTGTGGCTGTGGGGGCAGATGGGGACCTGCTGGGGAGTGTGGCTATGGCAGCACATGGGGGCCTGCTGGGGAGTGTGGCCGTGGGGGCCTGCTGGGGAGTGT